CGCCTGCCTCTGCCTCCCAAGTGCTGGGATTAAAGGCGTGCGCCACCACCGCCCGGCCTGTATCATATCTTGAACACAGCAAATTTCTAACTCTATACACACTGAAAAAATAATAGGTAGTCATCACCAACACCCCTGAAAAGGACATACTTGAAATATGCACCATTTACAACAATAGCAACTTACTTTTACATGAAAAATAATCTCAAATTTTTAACAAACTTTAGAGCAGAGATTATGACTCAGCTATTAATTGTCATATCCCAATGAAAAAGGAAAATCTCCCATGTTGAATAACCTTGTACTTATTCATTTAAATAATAGCAGCTACATAAATCCAAATGGAACTACTATAGCAAAGGAGCACATCACATGGTTGAATAATAAGCAGTATCAGTGTTTAAAGAATAAAGTTTGTTCACGAAGAAAAGAGACTATCACCTGTACTTTGTGAATACTAGTAATGGTCAAACGTTCTGAGTTAATTATGTACATGACGCACATTGTAAGCTACTGCTTGTGGGTATAATTAGGTGGTATGAAAGAAATAGGTGTCCTTTTGTTTGTTTGTTTTGTTTTGTTTTTTTTTCGAGACAGGGTTTCTCTGTGTAGCCCTGGCTGTCCTCGAACTCAGAAATCCACCTGCCTCTGCCTCCCAAGTGCTGTGATCAAAGGCGTGCGCCACCACCGCCCAGCTTTTTTTTTTTTCTTCCTGTAGCACTATATATCTAGGTTCCCTCTAAAGAGTGCTAGGAATTGACCTTGGGGTCTTGTGCATGCTAGGCCAGTGCTATACTACTCATACTACTGAGATATATCTTAGCCCCCAACTTCTCTTTTAGCCTATTAAATTAATGCTTCATTAATTCTATCTTTAATTTTTGGTTTCTTTGAGATAGGGTTTCTCTGTATAGCCTCGGCTGTCCTGCAATTCTCTCTATAGACCAGGTTGGCCTCTGGCTCATGATTAAAGGTCTATGCTACCATCAACAGGCCTTATGTTTCATTTTAAATGCCACCTAAACCTTATCTTTCTTCTAAACCCTCACAGTTCTATTTTAACTTTATTAAAAAACATGCCATGCTTCTATTATGTGTAGACTTCCAGATATCAGTGAGCTCATCAACCTGGCTTTGTCAGACTTAAGGTTTGAGGAAAACATAAGCAATAGAATTTCCAAAGGATACTATGCCTGCACTAGGATAGCAGCTCCAACCAAATGCTGTACAGAGAACACAAGGTTGTAAGAAAATGAACAATTTAAAATGCAATAGTGAAGACTTATTGTGAAAGGATACTGAAGAGAAGAACGATGTGGGTTTCAGCTACGAACTGGGCCTGGCTGCTTCCGTGGATATAATTCTGGGAGGAGAAGACAAATGCAATCTTTACATTATACACTAAACTGTAGTTTTGTAACCCTAAAACATGATATGTTAAACCTTAGGAAATTATCAATTCACTTTCTGTATGTAAGCATGTAGCATACTTTGTGAGGCTATTAAAAGCTATTTCTGTATTTGTATTTTTCTTTGTATTTGTACTAGAGATTTCACAAAAAAATGTATGAGAAAAACAATATCTAAGTGTATAAAACTACAAGGTAAAATGATGCAGCCATGACAGTAGGAGCACATTTTCCCAATCAATCACCATATCTCATAGTACCTAGCACAGCTGCTAGAAACAGCAAGTAATCGAATCCTTGACTAATTCTCATATTTAGTTTGAGACTTTCTTAGCCATCCTAGTCAAAAGAACTCAATAAAGGGATTAAAGACTAGAGAGTCAAAACTGTATCTAGTTGCTGCATACCAGCACTGGCCTCACATGGTAACTGTCATTACATTAGCTTTAGTATTCAATACAAACAAATTCCAAACTTTCCTTACCACGTGTCCTGTATGGGGATTTTTATGAGCATATGGTGGCCCTCTTATATGGTTCCACATTTGGCCAGATGTCATAGCAAGTACAAAACACTAGAAAACAAAAATAATGGAATACTCATGGTTTAGCTAGCTCATACCTACTAGGTTAGTAGATATATGAAAATACTTATACATTCAGAAAACACATGCCTTTTTTTGCAAATAAATGATTTATTTAAAATTTATATTTTACCACAAAGATCACAATTCATCATTTCTAAAGGGATTTTAAACTATAATTAAACAGAATAGTTTCAAAATTGAGTACTGGAAATATATCTGAAAAATATTTTCAAAAGAACTGTAAAGTGGGGTTTGAGTGATGTCTCAGGGGATCTGAGTTTGGTTCCCAGGATCATAATGGGTGGCTCATAACGGCCTGTAGGATTAGGAGGAATGGCCTTGTTGGAGGAAGTGTGTCATTGAGGGTGAGCTTTGGGGTTTTCAGAAGCCCAGGCCAGGGCCAGAGGCTCTTTCCTTGCTGCCTTCGGATCAAGATGTAAACCTCTCAGCTCCTCAGTACCATGTCTGCCTGCACACTGCCATGCTTCCTGCCATGATGATAATGGACTAACCCTCTGAAACTATAAGCCAGCCCCAGTTAACTGATTTCCTTTATAAGAGTTGCCATGGTCACAGTGTCTCTTCACAGCAATAGAACACTATGACAGACTGATAAGCTCTTATGGGTTTTTTTTTTTCTGGGACAGGGTTTCTCTGTGTAGCCCTGGCTGTCCTGGAACTCACTCTGTAGATCAGGCTGGCCTGGAAATCAGAAATCCACCTGCCTCTGCCTCCCAAGTGCTGGGATTAAAGGCGTGGGCCACCACTGCCCGGCAGCTCTTATGTTTGAATGGTTTGGCACACAATTGGTAGAACTGTTTGGGTTGGATTTTGAGGTGTGGCTTTTTGGAAGGAAGTGTGTCACTGGGGGTAAGCTCTGAGGTCTCAAAAGATTTGTGCCACTTCCCAGTGTACTCCCTGCCTCCTGACTATGGATTGAGATGTGAGCTCTCAGCTATCCCTTCACTCCACCACTGTGAACTCTCACCCTCTGAAGCTAAGCCAAATGAATGCTTTCTTTTATAGAGTTGCCTTGGTCAGAGTGTTTTATCACAGCAATACAAAAGCAACAGAGACAATGACCTAAGTTCAATTCCCAGAATCCATATAAAAAAAGCTAGAGAGCAGCGGCTCATCAGTTAAGAGCACTTGCTTCTCTTGTAAAGGACTGAAGTTTGATTCCCAGCACTCCCAGCAGGCAGTTCACAAATGCCTATAACTCTTAAGGGATCCAATGTCCTCTTCTGGCCTCCAGCCAGCCTAACTGACAGCAGTGAGACACTTTCTAAAATGCAAAAACAAAAACTAAGTGGACAGATCCTGAGCAACAACAGTCAAGGTTCACTTTCTGGCCCCCACAGACATGAACGCATACATCTACATAAATAAGCACCAGCAGGCACATTCACTGAAAAAAAAAATGGGGTTGAACCAAAGACAACAACGGAAACTCTCAGGAATCAAAGAGGGTAACCCTAGCTAAGACTCTTAGCAAGAAGGGATACAAAGCACGAACCAGCCATCTCCTTAACCAGTCGAGACTTCCAGTGGAGGTGATGGAACACCAAACCACCCATAAACCTTTGACCTACAAATAGTTTGTTCTATATACAAGATGTACTGGGGTAAAGGTGGTACATAAATTGTGGGAGTGGCCAACCAATGACTGGTCCAGCTTGAGACCCATGCCATGAGAGGGAACTCACCCCTGATACTGCCTAGGGAACCCGACACCCAGAGGCTGGAGAGCCCAGAGGGTAGGATAGACCTAAACACGAATGGGGAAAAAAGGCAATGAAGTAATTCCTAATGATATTCTGCTACACTCAAAAATTGGTGTCTAGCCCATTGTCATCAGAGAGACTTCATCCAGCAACTGATAGAAACAGATGCAGAAATCCACAGCCAAGTATTAAGCAGCACTTGAGGAATCCTGTGGAAGAAGGGGAGGAAGGACTGTAGGAGTCAGAGGGGTCAAGGACACAAGAAAACCCAAAGAATCAACTAAACTTGGCCCACTGGGGCTCACAGACACTGAATCAACAACCAGGGAGCCTGATCTAGCTTGGTCTTCATATGGGACTCCTAAAAGTGGGAGCACTGGCCTTCTCTGATTCTGTTGCCTGTCTTTGGGACTCTTACCTCCGACTGAACTGTCTTGTCTAGCCTTAATAGAGGAGCAGGTGCCTAGTCTTACTGCAACTTGTTATGTCATAGCTCCTTGATATTCAATAAAGCCAACCCTTTTCTGAAAAGAAAGGAAGGAGGAATGGATGTGGGGGTGGGCAAAGAGGAGAGGTGGAATGGGAGGTGCTAGGAAGGAGAAACTGCCATAGAGATGTAAAATAAATAAAATTCAATAAAAAATGAGTAAAATTTAAAAAAATAATAAAATTCAGGTGGTAGTGGTGTACACCTTTAATCAATCCCAGCACTCAGGAGGCAAAGGTAGGTAGATCTCTATGTGTTCAAAAGTCAGCCTGGTCTACAGAGTGAGTACAAGGACAGCCAATGCTATACAAAGAAACAGAAAAACCAAAGGGAAATGAATACAAATTAAAAAAAAAGAAAAGAAAGAAATAGATTATTAGGTTCTTTTTTGATCATTTTTTTTCTTCTTCAATTTACTTACCAAAGCTGCAAAAGCCCACCCAGTTTTATTAAAGAGAAATTCCATATTGCTTCTTCGCAGGTACACAAGTCCACCAATAACAGCCAAAAGCAATCCCAACATTAGAGGTCCAGCATAATTTGGAGGTCTAATTACTCTAATCTAATGGAAAGGAGATAGAAAAACATGTTAAAGTACAAAATGTATTTATTTTGTAATTAATAATAGTGGAATGAAAGCAGGCAAAATGTAATTTCAGGGAAAAATACCTCTTTCCTCTATTTTACTCCAATTAAACAGTCTAAACTATATGATAAAAATAACATCTAAGGACTGCCAAATCATTCCAGCTCAATGACATGAAGACAAGGCCAGCTATGATCCCCAGGTAAGATTTAAAAACAATGAAAAAATCATTTCTGTAAAGCAGGGAAACTTACATTGACATCAGTTCTGTCTGCGATCCACCGGGCAATCTGTTCAGCTGAAAACCCTCGCACCTGCAACTCATATGTATCAGCCCTTTTGGGTTTTCCTTTTGGAGGAAAGTTGATGAAAGTTGGAGCTGAATTCATATTTAGCTGAATAAAGAGTAGTCCATGGAAACATAAGTTATCAAGAAAATAGTCTCTTTTTTTTGTAATAAAGACAATTTCACAGAATTTATTATCACCTAATGATAATGTCACAAGAACAAGATGCATAAATGTAGCTCCCAGCAGAAGACATATTTAAAAACACTGAACAGCTTTTCCCATGCTGGACCACTGCTAGTTAGAAATACTTTGGAGCAGAGTAGTATTATCCCCCTTTAGAATGATCCAACCCAGTTGTTTTCTTGATTTTGTTTTAGAATGAATCTCTTCTGCATCATGTAATAAAAGGTTCATGTACTCATCAAAGCCAATAATACAATCCTCTATCTGAATAGTCACTTGTTCATACAGGCACACTTGAATTCGAGATCTATTTTGTGATCTATTTTGCAAGTATCTGAAGATGAGGTTCTGTACCTAGGCAATCAAGGAAAAGAAATGTACGAGCCGTAGAGACTCTGCTCCCAACCTCATCTGACTCTCTAGTGCCCCAAGGCCAGGCCAGACTACACATGCAAGCACTAGTGACCACCCAGATCATGCACTCCAGATGTCCTAGAAACTCTGAAGGCACTCCCTCCCTACTGTCCTCGTTTCTCGAAACTCTGATGACCCACATCCTCTCTACTCTGTCGACCCCGCTTTCCTTCTGTACTGCACCCTGGCACCCTGGCACTGTACATCCAAGCCCACCTCCAAGAAAATAATCTTAGTGGCAAAAAATAATTTTAAATTTAGGCCTGGTTTTGAGACAGGCTTTTGCTGAGCCATCCAGGCTAATCTTGAACTTGCAGTAATCCTCCTGTGTCTGCTTCCTAAGTGCTAGGATTAAAAACATGCATCATCATGCCTGATAGAAATGTAGGCTTCCAAGCCGGGCGGTGGTGGCGCACGCCTTTAATCCCAGCACTTGGGAGGCAGAGGCAGGCGGATTTCTGAGTTCGAGAGTTCGAGGCTAGCCTGGTCTACAGAGTGAGTTCCAGGACAGCCAGGGCTACTCAGAGAAACCCTGTCTCGAAAAACCAAAAAAAAAAAAAAAAAAAAAAAAAAAAAGAAATGTAGGCTTCCATACACATGAAGATTATAATTATACAGCTGAAATGATTGGTCTAAGGAGAGTTATGAAGTATGCTTTCACACATGGCTACCTGTGACTGTAATAATTACACCTTTTCCATACCAGTTATTTTAAGTTGTTCATATGTTTTATAAAAAATAAGCATACATTTATGACATGGAAAGAGTCCAGGTTAAAGGACTGTTTGAGCAGTACACTGAGTTCACACAAGCTTAGACAACTTAGAGAGACACTGTCTTAAAACAAACAAATATAGGTATAGGGTCACACACCTTTAATCCCAGAACTGGGGGAGCAGAGGCAGGTAGATCTTTGTGAGTTGGAAATCATCCTGGTCTACATAACGAGTTCTAGCACAGCCATCTCCCAAATGCTGGGAGTTTATGCACAAGTTACTGTGCTTGGCTTGTTCTTTTTATAAATGGGATTTCCTGAAGGACAACAATACATACTCCCCCAAATAAGATAATTAAACCAAAGATAAGGCTACATTTTGGAGCAGAGGTGATCTCAGGGAAGCAGATTAATCTCATTAAGCTATGTTGACTTTGGATTGCCCATCTTGATGAACCAGAACTGAGACAATGATTAGACAAATGGCCTTGGCTTGGTTGTTAAATTACATGTACTTCATTTCCCTGCTCCACTTCTGCATAAACCACTACCATGTAGAGGGTGTCACTGATCACTTATTTTCCTACATTGAACAAATTCCTCTGCTTTACACACATGCACACACACACATGAACATATATGAGTGGGTATGTATATATGTATGTATAAATTATTAGGTAGGGTGATGAACACCTATAATCCCAATACTTGGGAGACAGATGGAGGAAGGATTGGACGTTTGTATCCAGTCTATGCTACACAGACTATGTCACACAACAACAAACTTAAAAACTGTGTGGATATTACTTGCTTAATGCTCAATTTCTGTACTCTAGTTAGGCTGGCATGTGTTATTACTGTTTTTTAATTAGGCATATTTATTTTGCTTTTAGTTTACTACTTTAGCTCTTATATTAACATATTCCTATTTTACTTTTTTTGGAGGGGGAGGTTTCGAGACAGGGTTTCTCTATGCAGCCCTGGCTGTCCTGGAACTCACTCTGTAGACCAGGCTGGCCTCGAACTCAGAAATCCGCCTGCCTCTGCCTCCCAAGTGCTGGGATCAAAGGTGTGCACCACCACCACCCGGCTCCTATTTTACTTCTTTTTTTTTTTTATTTAATTTTTTTTGAACATGAAATGCTTTTTTATAGCATGTTTTACAAGGGGAGGGGGTAAGAGGGTCCAGGTGGTGGAAAAGTACAAAATCTTCTTGGCCTGTGCCTTGAAACATGTCATGGTCTATATGGTACACTGCCTTGAATTATGATCTACCTGCAGTTCTTCAGAAGATATGGTACACTGCTTGAGTTATGGTCTCCCTGCTATTCTTAAGAAGACATGGTACTCTGCTTTGAGTCTATCTGCAGTTGCTAAGCAGGATCTTGCAGCTGCCAAGCTTCAGAGGACATTGTGCAGGTGGGGAAAGGTAGGGGGTGAGGGTAAGGGCGAGGGTCCTGGCTTCTGGCATCTCCCCCTTCTCTGTTTAGTTAGAGAAGGCGTCTTATGTTCAATCCCAACTATGTGAATTTTGAATTTGGATGTCTAATTATGGGGGGTCTTAGACAAGTTCACAACCCCAAAACACTGATGTGAGACGAGTCACATCGATGGTCGAAGGCTTTAGGCTGTCGACGATGGGCAATGTCAAGGGACTCCAATGTGGGTGAAAGGAGGGTGAGAGCCCTGTCTTAGGCCATGTAGGCTGCACCCACTCCCAGAACCATGCACTCCTTTTTGGCTGCATTGGGTGGGCCCCTGGGAAGTGGACCTACAATAATCCCGTCATTGGGCTAACTCACAGCCATCTTAGTCCCTTGTAAATGTTCAAGTTACCAACTATTTGTCAGTTTGGGGTGTAATATTGTCATAAAGGAAGGCTCCCCAACGTTAGCGGCCATATCAAGGGTGGCCTTGGTTTAGGAAAAAGCCAATTTTTGTTGGGGTGATCAAGAGGCCAAGCTCTCTAGCGAGAGAAATGAGGGCAAAGCCAGGCATACCAGGAACCCTTCTGGAGGGCGTGGAAGTCTAGGGGTCGACCGTAGGGGGAGGCAGGGGAGCTGGCAGCTGTGTCAGTCTCCTGCGGAGTCACTTTTGGATCCTCTTCAATTTTCAGCTGATGGTAATGAACTTCAACCGTCTTCTTGATGGCAGCATCAACCTGGTTCCGTGGACGACAGGTCGCGGGCAACGATCTCTGTCTCGCTCAATCTTGATGTCGTGCGCACATCCTCTCAAGGAGGGTCCGTCCGGAGGGGTCCGTGCCTCGAGCCCCACGTCTGGGTGCCACTTGACCCGACCGGTGGGTCCTAGTTATTCGTGGGGGCGAGGAGGACTGCAACCTGCTATTCTTCAGAAGATATGGTACACTGCTTGAGTTATGGTCTCCCTGCTATTCTTCAGATGATATGGTACACTGCTTTGAGTCTATCTGCAGTTGCCAAGCAGGGTCTTGCAGTTGCCAAGCTTCAGGGGACCTTGTGCAGGTGGGAAAAGGTAGGGGGTGAGGGTAAGGGCGAGGATCCTGGCTTCTGGCCCATCTGGATTAGAACTTCTGACAGCAGGCATCACGGGTGATTCATTTTTACCTGGGATGCTGCGCGAGTTCAAGCTCCTGGGAGTCCCTGTTTTTCTTGGTTTTCTGGGGTTGGGTACGGAGCTGCACCCTGTGACCTGCTCTATGCTCGGGCCCAAACCGGAAGTCCTATTTTACTTCTTAAAAATATTTTTAGACTTATTTTCTGTGCACGAGTATTTTGTCTGCATGCATGTATGTGCACTATATGCATGCCTGGTGCCCATGGAAGATAGAAAAAGGTATCAGACCCCCTGAAACTGGAGTTAGGATGGTTTTGAGTCATCATGTGAGTCCTCTGCAAGAACAAGAGCTTCTAACCAAGTGGCCATCTCTCTGGCTCTACTAGTTAACTTCTTAGAATCATTAAAAACATATTTTGCTTTATCTGTACTTTATTCTTGCATAAAAATGAAACCAAACATCTTACCATTTGAAATACATCAGAGCCTTCATCAAAATCCACCATGGCAAAAAATATCCTGTTGGTAAATGCACTGGAATATCGCCAAGAATTTGCCAGAATCTGGAATTCTTCATCAGCTTGCCTGAATTCAATCAGATTAGTAGAGAAAAAACATATGAAACAATTTTTAAAAACCTAGCTTATCAGCAGTAAAACAAAACCTAATTAAGTAATAGCAAATTTTAGTGAAAGAAAATATTGAAAATGATTAGCAAGTAAGTCAAGTATAGCTGATAAGGTCAGAATACACTTTAAGTATAAGAGAAGCCCTCCCTATAACTAAGTGTTGGAGATCTCACCAGGAATTAGTAATTTCATGATTCTGTTTCAGACTTTCCACTTGTTTTTTTTTTTAATCCCAAAACCTCTTTAAAAACTTTTTTTTTCAGCTGGTTGGTGGTGGCGCACGCCTTTAATCCCAGCACTTGGGAAGCAGAGGCAGGTAGATTTCTGAGTTTGAGAGTTTGAGGCTAGCCTGGTCTACAGAGTGAGTCAAGGACAGTCAGGGCTATACAGAGAAACCCTGTCTCAAAAAACCAAACCAAAAAAAAAAAAACTTTTTTTTCAAAGACAGGCTTCTCTTGGCAGCCCTGGCTGTCCTGGCACATCCTCTGTAGACCAGGCCTGCCTCCTGAGTGCCTGGCTCCAAAACATTTTTTGGTGGTCACTGAAAAAATCCAGCTAATATCCTCTGTAAGTTGTGGGAGCTTTCCTCCTTTTATTGGTTTTTATTTATTTGTATGTACGTGTGTCTCTGTCTGGGTATATGCATGTGAGTACCAATGCCCATTGAAGTCAGAAGCATCAGATCCACCTGGAGCTGGTTACAGGTAGGCTGTGAACTGTCCAACCCAGCAAGAGCAGTAAAGGGCTATTAAATGTTATGCTATCTCTCTAGTCTGTGTTTTTAAAACAGGGTCTGACTATGGTGCTCAGCCTGGGCTCAAAGTACTGGTTTTAAATGCCCCTTCTGTCTCAGATTTCCCAGCAGGAAGGACTGTGAGCATATATGACCATACCCAGCATCTACACATTGTTTGGTTTTGGTGCTGGGGATTGAACGGAGTCCCACACAGTCAAGGCAGGGGCTCTAACACTCATCTGTACCCCACACTCTCAATAATTTGAGGCCCTAAATTATCAGACGAAGAAGATCTAACAGCCTACCTTTAAAAATCTAAAGTATGTAGTCAGAGAGAGATGCTGGCACAAGCCTTAAGACCAGCACTCAGAAGGCAAAGACAGGAGGACTGCCAAAGTTAAAAGCATGTTTGCTGTTATAGCAAGTCTCAGAACATCCAAGGGCTACATCCAAGGGCCCTGTTTCAAGTTTTAAAAATTAAATAAAATATGGAGGCTGAAGAGATGACTGTGTCAGTAAAATGGTTGCCCTGAAATAGTGGAGGACATGAGCTTACTTTCCAGATGCCATGTTAAAAGAAGGCAAGGATGGTAGTGTACACTTGGAATTGCAGTACTTGGGAGGCCTAGCCTAATCAGTGTGTTCCAGTGTTTCAAAGGAGGTAGACAGTATTTCTGAAGATGACACCAAAGAGTGTCTTATGGCCTCTACACTGAGGCATACAGATGTACCTGCACACTTATGAACATGCGATCGCGAACGAACACACACACACACACACACACACACACACACACACATGGGGGGGGGCAGGCACAGAGGATAGTTGGTAAGTAAAAATACAATTAGATGAATTATTAGAATAAAAGACAAGAAAACTCTAGAGGCTTGAGATAAACCTTGAGTTATCCTTGAAATTTTTTTTTTTTTACTATATGCTTTTATTTCAAAGACTGGCTATTTTCCCATATATATGTCTGTATCTTACTTTTTAAAAAATTCTTTAGAGGTTTAAATAACAAATACATTAACTTATACCTATTTACCAAAGGAGGTTTGGGGGTTCTAGTGTTGTTTTATTTTTTAATTATTATTCTGCTAGAAAACATTTTCTTGCCTGGCAGTGGTGGTGCACGCCTTTAATCCCAGCACTAAGGGAGGCAGAGGCAGGCGGATTTCTGAGTTCAAGGCCAGCCTGGTCTACAGAGTGAGTTCCAGGACAGCCAGGGCTACACAGAGAAACCCTGTCTCGAAAAACCAAAAAACAAAAACAAAAACAAGAACATTTTCTTTATTTGTGATAAACTTTTACCTCCATCCTCTTCTGTTTATGTATGTATTTTAGTGCTGGGGATTAAATCTTGAGGCTATTTCTCTGTTTTTGTTTGCCTTTTCGAGACAGTTACTCTTTGTAGCCCTGGCTGTCCTGGAACTCACTCTGTAGACCAGGCTGGTCTCAAACTCACAGAAATTCAACACCTTCTGCCTCCTGAGTGTTGGAATTAAAGGTGTGCGCCACCACTGCCCGGCATCCTAGAGCCTATTTCAATTTGACATTCACTAATCTATTCTCTATCCATATTTTACAAATTTTGTTCAGTATCCCATTCTTCTATTCAAAAGTATTTGTGAGCATCTAAGGAAGAATTGAGTGGTATACACATCAGTTATAGGCCCACAATGAACAAATTTATAGGATATTCACACCTGGCATTGTCTACCACAGTCCTGATGAAAGCTACTTGGAGGGGAAATGTGTGGTTGTGTTGTGACAAGATGGTGATATGGAGACTGAGTCAACTACTCTGCAGTCCAATGGCACACTAACGCCTCAGCAAATATTTTTTAGCTTCTCAGACACACATAGTTAGAAGGATCCACTATGAAAATGTCTTCTCTCCTACTTCAGTTCCCTTTATACCTCATCTTTTTCTAAGTAATGAATTGGTTTAAAATATTCATGAGGGTTGATACTGAAGAGACGTGTTTGCTATTCTAGAGGATCTGGGTTCAATTCCTAGCATTCACATGGAGGTTCACGACTGCCTGTAACTCCAGTTCCAGAAGACCTGATACCCTCTTCTGACCTCTGTGGGCCGTTCATTTAAGTGGTATACAGACATACATACAGGCAAAAGACATACATATGCATTTTTTAAAAAAATTAAATGTAAAGGGCTAGAGAGATGACTCAGCTCTTAAGAGCTTATTCTGCTCTGGTAGAAGATCTAGTTTGGTTGTAAGCACTCCCATCAGACAGCTCACAGTCACCTGTAATGGATACGTCTGACCTCTGTGACCACCCATGCTCACATGTCAACTCCTATGAACCAACTCACCCGCCTTTTTTTTGTTGTTGTTGGTTTTTTGTTTGTTTGTTTGTTTTTCGAGACAGGGTTTCCCTGTGTAGCCCTGGCTGTCCTGGAACTCATTCTGTAGACCAGGCTGGCCTTGAACTCAGAAATCCGCCTGCTTCTGTCTCCTAAGTGCTGGGATTAAAGGTGCACGCCACCATTACCTGGCCTCACCGGCCTTTGAAAGGAAGTTTTACACTACTTCATTTAAGTTCCCTCTCCTCTCCACATATACATACATAATTAAGATGGAAACTAAGGGGCTGGAAAGATGGCTCAGCAGTTAAGAGAATGTACTGCTCTTGCAGAGGACCTAAGTTTGCTTCCATGCACCTGTATCATGTAGCTTTCAAACACCTAAAACTCCAGCTCCAGGAGCATCGAATGACTCTGGTCTCTGAGGGAACTTACATTCATATGCACATACTTCCACACAGATACACATAATAAAAAAATCTTTAAACAATAAAAATAAAGTTGAGCATGGTAGCACACAGCTTTAACCCTATCACTTGGGAGGCAGAGGCAGGTGGATCTCTGTGAGTTTGACGATAGCATGGCCTACATACTAACTTCCAGGACATTCAGAAATTGTACAAAAATCCCTTTTCATGGGCTGCTGAGTTGGATCAAGGGGTAAAGATTTTGCCACTAATGATCGGAGTTCAATCCCTGGGACCCATACGGTAAAAGGAGACAACCAACTTCCACAGCTGCTAGCCCTCTGACCTCTATCCACTCCCATGCACATGCATGCACGCACATACGTGCATACAAACACAGACTTCAACTCTGCTTCAAAAATACGAAAGAAAATCCCCAAAGGAAAAAAGTATGGAATTGAAAACTCTTATAAACCCTTTCTTTTGGAATACTGGGGATTAAACCCAGGAGTTTTTCTACTGCTCTACTGTGATATTCCTGAGCTGCATCCCCAGCCTGAAAGTACTCATAACATTGGGTTGGAGAGGCTCAATGGGTGAAAGTACTTGCTGTGTAAGCCTGCTCATCTATATTCTATCCTTGGGATCTATGGTAGAAGGACAGAAATGACTTCTGAAAGTTGTTCTCTGACCTCCACATGTGCACAACAGTACACACGCATCTACTCATGTGTGCTTGTACACGCATGTAATAATAAAAAATTTATCAATACAACTAGTATACTGTTATATAAAGTGCTTATCAATTCAAATAGTGGTTGAGGTTTAAATAATCCATGATAGCTACAATATGCACAATCAAGAATGGTTATAAAACAGTAGAATTGTTTGTTATTATATACTCCCTGAGTAAGGTATATATGTTACTATTAACAAACCCACTACACAATTTTGGTTCTGAGATAGAAAAAGAGTTAAAAACCATTTAAGTTATTTCATTTCAAAGTAGAGATGAAAGCTCATACTTGCAAACGACACACTGTCTATGAAGCTGGAGAGCAGTAAACATGACAATGACAGAGTAATTTCTTGGTGGAGCTTTAACAAGGCGACGGAACTTGTCTCCATTCATTCTTATTACAGGCCTTTTATTGGTCCATTCCATCAGCTGACTAACCTTCTCAGATAACACCATCTACAAAAGACAAAGTGGGAATTTTGTGAATACATTCAACTTGGCATTTAAGGTTCATTTAGCAGGTCTTCTTTATAATTGCAGTTACCCAGGAAGTTAAAATAAGAGGATCTCCTGATCACAAAAGCCCAGGACCAGCTTTGGCAACACAGTTAAGACCCCAATTCCAAACAAAACAACAAAACAAGAACAAAAACAACACAAAGAGGTGTGGAGGCATAGTCTGTTATCCCAGCACCTAGCAAGTGAGGCAAGTTCATAAGTGAGGCCAGTCTAGGGTTCCTACAGAAACAATATCAAAAACAACAAAAATAGCATGGCATGGCAGCACATGCCTTTATTCTTAGCAACTGGGGGCAGACGTAGGTAGATCTCTGAGTTTGGGGCCAGCCTGGTCTACATATAGGGTCCTAAAGCAACCTACATAGTGAGATACTTTGTTTCAAAAAGAAGTGTTGTGGGTGGAGAGCAGCCTTGCAGCAGCAGCAGCAAGAAAAACATAACAAAACCAAAAAGTTAGTCAGAACTGACAACCTGAGCTTTGTTAAGGTCTACATCCCCCCAAACACAGCTGTAGACATTTTTTCCATGCCTGTCCCCTCCAAACACAGCTGTAGACATTTTTTTCCATGCCCGCCTGCTATTTCATATTGTTGCAGTACTATGCCTGCCAGTCATTGACACAATGAAGTGACCTGACTCAGAGCAGGGTCATGGTGACCCTGTTATGTTCTGTATGTTCGGAGGTTTGTTAATCTTAAGAAATTCAATAACCTTAAGTTCCACTTAGGACCAGTCAGGATAAAGGTCAATTAGAACTGTTCTGTCTAGCTGACCACCGGGCAGTACTTCCTGCACCAGCACACGGACACACTGTGGGTTTTTTTTTCCCTTATAAGTTGGACCTGAGAAATGTCCAGGGTTGTAGCCTCTGCTTAGAATTCTGAGGCACAGCTCTGATCAATCAATCTTAGGGTGTGTGTTCAGTAAACCATCCCTAAAACCAGTGTTTGTGTGGTCTGTGGGGGCGACTCTTGGACCCCAACAAGTATGATCCCAGGAATCTATGGTAGAATGAGAGAATTATAATTCCACCTTGTCCTCTGAGCTCCACACATGTAGTACATGCATACTTGTACATATGAAAAAAGCAAATACATGTTCAAAAGTTACATTAGCAAAGCAACTTTCTTAGACCAAGTCCATCAAGCACACAGAATATGTGTATCTTAGGGGCTGGAGTGGTGGCTCACAACTTCCTGTGAATCCAGTTCTAAGGAATCCAATGCCCTCTGGCCTCTTGGGGCACCTGCACATGTCTGCACACATATGATGTGCATAAACTCAGGCAGATAGAGAAACATATATGTAAAAGTGAACTAACTAATCTTTTAGAAAGAAAATATAAACCCTATAAAAAATTGGGAGCTAGTCCTGATGATAGATTATTCTTTTAAGATAAGAGTTTACCATGCAGGGCTGAAGAAATGGCTCAGTGATTAAGAGGACTGGCTTCTCTTCCAGAAGTCCTGAGTGCAGTTCCCAGCAAACATATGGTGGCTCACAGCCATCTGTAATGCAGTCTGCTGCCCTCTTGTGGCATGCAGGTATACACAAAGATAGAACACTTGCACATAAAACCAACTTAAAAAACAAAAACAAAAACAAAAAACCCTTACCATGGGGCTCGGAGTGGCCCTCCATTTCCTCTGAGTGGGTGGGGAACTCCTGAGTATAACCTCACCCTGGCACTTCAGGTCTCTGCAAGGCTAAGTGCTTTCTCTCCCACTGAGGCCAGACAAGATGGCCCAGCTAGAACATATCCCACATGAAGGTTTTGGGATAGTCCCCTCTCCAGTTGTTCAGGACTTACATGAAGACTAAGCTGCACTATCTGCTACATATGTGCAGGGAGGCCTAGGTCTTTCCAATTCTTATGAGTAGGGATAATGTATTATATAAATTTCCATGTATAACAAATAAAATTAAATAAGCATTAAGTACTTCAAATAAATGGAAAATATGACCCTTTATAGGAAAGCACACCTTTGTCTTCCCAGAAAGCTTACAAGATGTGATAATCTAGGTAAGTGAAATAACATTAAAAAAAAAAAAAACCCTTCATGCCGGGCAGTGGTGGTGTACGCCTTTAATCCCAGCACCTGGGAGGCAGAGGCAGGTGGATTTCTGAGTTCGAGGCCAGCCTGGTCTACAGAGTGAGTTCCAGGACAGCCAGGGCTATAAAGAGAAACCCTGCCATAAAAAAACAAAACAAAACAAAAAAAACTTCATTCTTTTAAAAAAAATTTAAATTATGTGCATATGTCTGTCTGTCTGTCTGTCTGTCTGTCTGTCTGTCTGTCTGTCTGTGTGGGGGTGTGCACACACATAAGTGCAAGTGTCCGGAGTCCATAAGAGGGTATGGTATCTCTGGAACTGGAGTCACAGGCAGTTATGAGCAGCCTGATGTGGACTGGGGATCAAAATCAAGTTCTTTGAAACAGCAGGTAACACTCTTAATCAACCACTAAGCCATCTCTCCAACCCAGAAATAGAACACCATAATAATTATTTTTAACTTTTAAAAAAATTTTTTGAGATGTTTTTAATTTTATGGGTATGAGTGTTTTGTCTGCATGCATGTATGTGTGTGCCTGTTACTCAAAGGTCAGAAGAAGGTATCAAATTTCCTAGAACTGGAGTTAAATGAAGTTATGAGCTACCATGGAGGTGCTAGGAACTTAACCTGGGTCTTTTGTAAAAAGTGCTCTTAACCAGTGAGCCATCTCTCTAGCCCCACACTTTTTTTGTTGTTGTTTTTTCAAGACAGGGTTTCTCTATGTAGCCCTGGCTGTTCTAAACTCATACTGTAGACCAAGCTGGCCTTGAATTCAAGGGATCCCCTGTCTCTGTCTACTGACGTCTCAGATTCAAGTCGTGTACCATTACTGCCTAGCAGTCATGTACCATTACTGCTTTGTCTGCATGTATACCTATACATCAGAAGAGGACATAGGACCCTATTATGGATGTTGTAAGCTGTCATGTTACTCCTGGGACCTGAACTCAATCTCTAGAAGAACAGAACAGCCAGTGCTTTTAACCACTGAGCCATCTCTCTAGCCCCTATAGGTTTGTTTGTTTTAATTTTACAGTATTTCATTATGCAGTCTTGGCTGTCCTGGAACTCCCTATGTAGACTACACTGGTCTTGAACTAATTGCTGGTCTTGAATTCACTGAGAGATCCACCTGTCTCTGTCCCCTGACTGTTGGAATTAATGCTGTGGCTTTTTGTTTTTTCAAGACAGGGTTTCTCTGTGTAGCCCTGGCTGTCCTGGAACTCACTCTGTAGACCAGGCTAGCCTCGAAATTAGAAATCCACCTGCCTCTGCCTCCCAAGTGCTGGGATTAAAGGCGTGCGCCACCACTGCCCTGCAGGGATGTGCCTGTTTATTAGCTTTTATAAAGAACAAACTTAAAGCTGTGTGAGAAGAGCACACACCTGTAATATCTGTGGAAGGCTGAGACAGGAAGAGTGGTAGTTCAAGGCCAGGCTAGACTACAAAGGGAGATCCTCTGTCTAAAAAGAAAAGGGAGAGAGGCATCCCTGCTTACACCTACACTTCCATCACTCAGTAGAGGCATAGGATTCCTGCAACCTGAGCTACATAGTAAGCTCTAGGCTGGAGAGTGGGACAAAATGAAAGTATCTTTAAAAGCACGCAAAAATTTCTCTTTTGTTGAATTTAAATGGAAAGGTTTGCTTCTACTTTCTTCCTTGTGTTTTGAGATTGACTTTCCCTTTGTAGCTCAATCTGGCCTTTGGCTTCTTATGTAGTCAAGCCATCCTTCAACCTCACAATCCTCTTGCCTTGGAATCCCAAGTGTTAGGATTATAGACATGCACTCCCAGAAAGCTAGATTTTTCTCTCTCATTATCTAGCCCTGACTAACCTTAAATTTTACTATGTAGACCAGGCTAGCCTTAAGCTTACAGGGATCCTATTCTCTTTTTTTTTGTTTGTTTGGTTTTTCGAGACAGGGTTTCTCTGTGTAGCCCTGGCTGTCCTGGAACTCACTCTGTAGACCAGGCTAGCCTCGAACTCTCGAACTCAGAAATCCACCTGCCTCTGCCTCCCAAGTGCTGGGATTAAAGGCGTGTGCCACCACGGCCCGGCCAGGGATCCTATTCTCAAGTCTCCGTGGTACCAAGCATGCAACACCACACCCAGGCCTATTTATTTATCCTCACTAGCACTAGAGAAGCTTAAATCTTAACCAACAGGAATTCTGTCATTACATCTCCCTCATCAGAAAAAAATATAGAAATCTATTAGGGGTTAGAACTAAAAAAAAATTCTGTCATTTAAGTTATTTTGAATTTCAGAAGCATTACCAGTATGAATTTCTTCAAAACCTAGATTGTAACTCTGTTCTAGTACACCAGGGCTTTCTCATTTAAAATTTTTCTTTTTTAGCCTTCCTACTCATCTAACTGCTCTTCAGCAGTACATTTACAACGCTGTCCTTCAATTAAAACTGAAAGGGAACAAATCTGGAAATGTAATTGACAGATAATTACTGGAAGAGACAGACTGAGCAGAAAAGAGAGCATTTTTAATCCTTTTGCCATCTGCTCTATTCTTGGTTTACCTACCTCATAAACAGCCAAAATCTATCCAGGTTGGAGTGTCTCAACTTTTTGTAGTTGTTTTGTTATTGTTATGTCTCTGTAATAAATGCCATCTACAGAACTACAGGAGTTTGCATCTGTGATATTTCTTTTAAAATTATTGTTCAAGCTTTAGTTTAGTTTATGGGTATAAGTTTTATCTTCCTGTGTGTCTGTGCACCACACATGTGCCTGGTGCCCAAGGAAGTCAGAAGTTACGGATGCTTGTGAGATACCATGTGGGTGCTGGGAACTGAACTCGGGTCTCCTGCAAGAGCACTATGTACTCTTCACTGCCGAACTGTCTCTCCAAACTAACATCTGTG